CCCGGGGGCGGGGCCCATGTAGTTGGGGTGACGGGTGCAGGTCCCTCTGCCACAGCAGTGCTGGTGGGTGTGCCCTTGGAGGTGCAGGGCGCTCCCGTGTGCCAGAGCTGCCTCTGGGGGTGCCGTCCTGAGGCGAGCCGCCCCCCCGTGGGTGTCCGGCCCACCGGGGGGAGCCAGCCCATGCTGCTCCGCGCCCGTGTCCTCTCGTGGTCCCTGCAGACCCGAGACTGCCACCCTGGGAGACACGGCCCAGTCCTGGGAGCTGGCCAGAGGGCGGACGTCAGCCCCATTCAGGGCCGGCCGCCCCGGGCTCGGGCGGGAGGGGTGCGCCCGCTGACTGGCCCCGACGCCCCAGGAGTGCACACTGAAGGTGCAAGACGGCAAGTTCAAGCTGCAGGACCTGCTGGTGGTGCCCATGCAGAGGGTGCTCAAGTACCACCTGCTCCTGAAGGTGAGCCGGTCAGGCGGCCTCGGCCGCGGAGCCCACTGGGAGGGCGCGAGGGGAGCCCGCGGCTTCTGCGCCGCCTTCTGCATGACCCGTGAGCGCGTGGCCCGTGAGCGCGTCGCCCGTGAGCACGTGACCCATGGTGCGTGGCCCGTGAGTGCGTGGCCTGTGAGCGCGTGGCCCGTGAGTGTGTGGTGCGTGCATGTGTGGCCTGTGAGTGCGTGGCCCGTGAGCGTGTGGCCCGTGAGCACGTGACCCATGGTGCGTGGCCCGCGAGTGTGTGACCCGTGAGCGTGTGGCCCGTGAGCGCGTGGCCCGTGAGTGTGTGACCTGTACGCGCATGGCCTGTGAGTGCGTGACCCGTGCGCGCACGGCCCATGAGCGCGTGGCCCATGTGTGCCCGTGACCTGTACGCTTGTGGCCCGTGTGCGCGTGGCCCATGAGCACATGGCCCGTGAGTGCGTGGCCCGTGTGTGCCTGTGACCCGTGTGTGCGTGACTTCTGTGTGCACGAGCTGTGTGTGCACGTGATGCGTGAGTGTGCACACGTCTGTTTGATCTCTGCGTGCGTGTGATCTGCGCGTGTGTGACTACGTGTGGTCTGTGCGTGGTTGTGTGTGATCTGCACTTGTGTGTGCACATGACGTGTCTGCGTGCCCGCAGGTACAGTAGCGGAGTGTCTGTGTCACGTCACACAAAGGAACGTTGTGGCTAAGGCCAGTTGCCGGAAACTGCCGGGAAGCCGGCGCCTGGGCAGGCCCCGGGCGCTGGTGACG